ACAGGACAGGGACCAATAAACATGAAGGATTCTCTCCTGCTCACTCCAGAGTCAATTCTCATGCCTGGGCTGGCCCTGTCTCTCTTCCCAGGGAGGTTCTGAAAGCTGCAATTCCCCCAAGAGGGAGTCAGAATGGCAGAGGAACCAAGTTGTCTGCAGACCGAGTGGAGCCATCTGAGGAGCCAGAGTGAAGTCCTCAGCTATCCTGGGGGAAGTGGCCAGCTCTCACCCTGGAGGGCCTGCCCCACCCTGTCTCTGCTGTGGAAACCCTGTACAGCTGCCCCTGGTGGTGATCATGGATTGTGCTGGTGGCAGTAGCAGGCAGTGACAGACAATTGTCACCACATGGGCTGTGCTGTTGGCACCTTGATGTCCACAGCCTCTTCTCCCAGAGCCCTGGTTTCCAGTCTTTCTGGATACAAGAACCCAACCTGATGGAGGCTGGGCTCTCACTGTGACTTGGGGGAGAGCCTAACTCTGGCAGAGGGGGAAGAAAGCACAGACTTCTTTGCTGTCATGAAATGACCTCCCAGGCCTGCTTTTCTGGGGTCAGGGGACAACTTCTCCGTCCGGAGAGTAAACACATTCTGGAAGATGTCTCAGCGTTTTGAGGATGAGGAAAGGCACTAGTTTAGAGGAAAATGTGCCCATGTTACAGTCAGCAACTCTGAGTGTCCTCTACTAACACTTGCTCCCATACACTGTACCCAGATTTAGGCCTGGTCTTTGGCCCAGTCCCCCAATGTGCCGGCACCATGCCTGCCAGAAAGACCCTCTCCCTTGGTATTGTTCTCACTTAGAAGGGCCACTTATACGTCACTCTAACTCTATCTGCTGCCAGCAATTCCTGCAGCTCCAAGCCAACCAATCCCATGGTCAGTGAAGGCCCCAGACCCCAGGAAAAATCACAGAGGAGTAAGGAGGCCTGGATTGCTCGTGGGAAGGGGGATTTAGGACAGAAAAGGGACCTGCCAGGCCTCAGAAGGCTTCCTCCTACAGGACAAGGGTCTTCGCAGCACACATTCGCCTCTTAGCTCCCCCTGTCTTCCCCAAAGCAGCCTGCACCCAGCTGCTTCTTCACTCTCCCCTAAGCCCTGCTTTTGTTGTAATCTTACCCTTCTTATATCTGACAAGCATTTCCCATTCCCACCTTGAAGAGGGACTCCAGGCCCTCTCTGAGGTGGCCCCAATGAGCCTTTCTTAATATCTCGCTACCAGGCCATGGGAATGGAGCCCCGTGCTTCAGCGTCCTCTCAACCAGCTCTGACTGTAGCTTTTGCACTGGTGCTCAGAACATCCTTCTGCATGAGTGCCTTAGGGTTTATCTATACAATAGCTGAATTTCTGGACGTTCTGTCTGGCTCATAAATCATCTCTGCTGCTGTAGCCATCACTTACAGGACAGTGGGAATTACGTGAAGCAGGAGAGATTGGTGGTTAAAGACCCGAGTTCTGTGGCCAGACTGTCCGGGTCCAATCCCAGCTTTGCCCCTTTTTGCTGGGAAAACCAGTTACCTGACTTTTGTGTCTCAGTTGTTCTTCTGTGAAAATATTAGAGTACCTCCCCCTTGAGGCTGTTGTGTGGATTAAGAGAGTTCTTGTATACAAGTTTAGAGTGGGGCATGGCCCACGGATCCCTCTGGGCAACGTCAGCTGTTACTGTTATGCCAGTGGCCTAATCGACTCCTCACTACAACTCTGAGGAAGGTTCTAGTAAAATCTCCACTTTACAGGTGGCAAGATGAGGCCTAGAGTTTGAATGACTTGTCCAAGGGTCCTGTGATACAGCAGCTCTTCCACCTGACCTGCGACTAACCCTGGGGTCCTGTTGAAGTCTCAGCTCTTCTGTGAGGCCCCACAGCCCGTGGGGCTGTTAGCTTCCACCCACCCCTGCGTGAAGGCTGCCAGGCATCTCTCTGCACCTGCTGAAGCTTCCTGGGGACAACGCCTGTGGGTCTGTTCCTCTTCTCTACTCTTGGCAAAGAAGCACTTCTGACCCACTGTTAACCCTGCCTGTGATGTGGCCAAGATAAACCCCAGTTCATGCCCAGTGTGGGTGGAGGAGGAAGATCCTCAGGGGAAGTGAATGCTTCCCTCTTAAGGCTCTGCTTGCCAATGGACCAAGTCAACTGGAAGCGTGGCGGGGCTGGGCCCACTGACTTAGGGAGGGAGGCCACTCAGACCTCGAGGAGAAAGAACTACAGTGGAGGCAGCAAATCTGAATTCTAGGCTTGGCTCTGCCACTTACCAGCAGCATGACCTTGGCTCATCATTCAACTTCTCTGGCATCAGTTTTCTCATCTGTACAATGGGAGTTAAGTCTGATTCCCAGGGATATCTATAATAATAAATGCATAATATGCTAATTAGACCGGACAGCCTTCCAGACATCCTTTTGGACGACCTTCTGGACGAAGCTGTGGCGGGCAGGGGCTAAGGTAGAGGCAGCCGCCGAGGCAGTAGGGGCCTAGCCCCTTGCACAAATTTCGTGCATCGGGCCTCTAGTAGTGAGATAAAATAGTACATACTATGTGGTAAATAATATGTAAAAACCAGAGGCCCGATGCATGAAATTCATGCAAGAGTAGGCCTTCCTTTCCCCGGCTGCTGGCACCAGCTTCCCTCTGGCACCTGGGACCCGGGCTTCCCTTGCAGCCCGGCTTCATCTGCAGTAACATTGCCAAGTTAATTTGGACAGGAATTCTGGGCAATGTAGACATGTCTCTTTGAAGTTTTTGATCCCTTTAAAAATCTCTTTCTTTGTATTCTCTTACTAAAGTTGCTTTTTAGCAGCTCTTTTGTAGACATGTCTCTTTGAAGTTTTTGATCCCTTTAAAAATGTCTTTCTTTGTATTCCTAATTAAAGTTGCTTTTTAGCAGCTCTTTTGTGTCTTGACTGAGCAAAGGAGATTAAGGGAGTTGTGTCTGAGCCTCGGTTGGGGTGATGGAGGGCTGCTGAGTGCACCCAGGATGGCAGATGTAGGAGGGAGGGCTCCTCTCAGTGGAGCCTCAGGGCAACGAACAGGCAAAGATTGATGAGGTGAACATGCTGGGCATGAGATGGAGCAAGGAGCAATGTCTGTGTCTCAGGGTGGAAGATAAGATGGATGGGCTCTCTCAACCCCCATCCTCACTCCCCTATTCCAGGCTGCCTTTTCTCATTGCTCCATTTTCCACGAACCCCTTGTACCAAGGCTTCTGGATGCCAATTAAGGTGATGTAATTAGAAACACTTGTGCAAGCTTCCTAGCGTGGAAGTGAGGCAGAGCACACCTCCCTGCCCTTTTGTCTATTTCCTGTGGGCAAGCCCGGAGGTGAGGACTGTTTCTGCACAGGGAAGGTGGCCCCTTCCCAGCTTTGGGGGGGTTGAGTGGCAGCTGCAGGAGCAATGGCTCCTTGCTCCCTGGTCTATAGGTTTGGTCGTGTGTGTTCTTGAACTCAGAGCTCCCCTGTTCCTTCAATCCTCCCAAAGCTCGTGTAAGCACCTAAATCCCTGAACTAATTCCTTGGCCTCTACCCGGTACACCTAGAAGAGTTTCTGACCCTGCTCTGTACCTTGATTGTGGTGAATGGCCTGGGACTTTGTTGCTTCAAGGTTTGATCCCTGCTGGGCACCAGCTCCATTTTTGGAGACGACAACCAGGAGCAATGATGGAGGAGCATGCCTTGGAAAGAATCTAAGTCCCTAAGTGACCATGAGGGGCAGAGATGCACTGCTGACCTATGCCTTTCACACTGTTAGAGGAAGGAGAAATAAACTCTTGGTTTGTTAGACCATTGCATTATCGGGTGATGGCCAGGTATTGGCACTAAGTCCCTATCAGGTGTAACTCAGCTCAGACTGCTCTCCCTCAGAACAGGTGGTTCAATGGAGGACTCTAACAGCCAAGAGGCCAGAAAGTTACAGTTGGAGTTGAGGGAGGGGAGCAAATATCCTACGTAATAAAAGCCTAATATGCAAATTGTCTCCTGGAGCAGCCGTTCCACTGGGAGACCAGGATTTTAACCACGCGCTATGACGTGCGGTGACCACCAGGGGGCGACGCAGACCATGGTGGGCCTGGGCGACAGTGGAGGCGCTGCTGGTCCCATGGGCCCCGATGAGAGCAGGACCATGGTGGGATGGTGGAGCAGATGAGGGGTTGGTGCCAGGCCAAGGTGGGGTGCCAGGTGGGGCTGCTGGGCTGCAAGGCTGGGGGCATGAGCTGAGCCCGATCTCCACAGGCCACCCTGAGGGACCCCACCCCTGAAGGAATTTGTGCACTGGGCCTCTAGTGAAAGAATACGGTTCTTACACTGGGTTCCTGATACACACCAGCTGGTCCACTCAAGGGCTTGGCGATAAAAATAGAACAATATCAATCATGTCCTCTTTGATCCTCAAGGAAAGTTGAGAAAATGGGTAAACTATCTCCATTTTCGGCCTCATTCCCACACCTTTGGCTCCTGTTGCCTTCTATCTGCCTCAAAATGAACTTAGAGCAAACAAAAATATATTTTAGAAAATATAAATATGTATTAAAATATATATTCTTAAAGAAAGAGGAAAGTTACAAATAAGAAAAGGGGGACACTCGGGAGAAACCTGAGGTGTTGGATTGGAATTGGAAATAACAGTATGAGATGCTTTGTAAAACATACCTATCTAACTGTATACAGTGGGGCCTTGACTTACGAGTTTAATTCGTTCCCAGACTGAGCTTGTTAAGGAGCTTCTTAACTCAAATTACTCTGTCAACTCAAAGCAAAAAATCAGCGAGAGACAGCTGGTATCTCAAAAAACTCGTTAGTCGGGACACTCGTAAGTCAAGGCCCCACTGTACACAGAGAGAGATACAGCTTCCAGAGAGTGGGACCCGGTGTGCCCGCGGCGGGCAGGGTTACGGGCGCAGGTGGTCCAGGCCCCGCCCCCGCGGCCCGCGGGCCTCGCGCGGCCCCAGGTGCCCGGGATAAGAGATAAGAGGCCCGAGGCCCGGGCGGCTCCGGCCCAGTGCGCAGCCATGGACATGGTGCCCGGCTTGCTCGTCACCCCGAAGGCCGAGGTGCTGGAGGACCTGCTGCGGGAGCAGTTCGGGCCACTGCCCCAGCTGGCCGCCATCTGCCGGCTCAAGCGGCTGCCCTCGGGCGGCTACTCGTCCACCGAGGACCTGCAGTTGGTGCTGGAGCGACGGCGCGTGGCCAACGCCAAGGAGCGCGAAAGGGTGAGCGCCCTGCCCCGCGCGGGTCCCCGAGGCCACCCGGGCTCGGCCGCCCCACGACCCGCACCAGGACAGGAATGACTTTCTCCCCTCTCCCCTCTCCCCGCCCCCATCCCCGCTACCAGCTCCCAACACCTGGTCAGGCCCCAGTGCAACCACTCGCTGGCCAACCGTGGGGCTCCCCCGAGGAGCGTCGGCCTCCTGAGGGCCGGCTGTGTCCTAGCCAGGGTGCATGACAGTGGCCTGGTTACCCGCCACCCTGGTCCAGCTGCTCACTCGCCGCCACTGGGATGGGCACCTCACATGCCTACCCACCTGAACTTGTGCTAACACGCTTGCGGAGCTGAGGAGGCCCGTGACAACTTCAGAAATGTCTCCCCTTGGCAGATGCTTTTAAAAGTTTAGAGCACCCAAGTTGCGCTTAAATCTCACAACGGAGTGCGCTGGTGGGCGCTTGGGGCGCGCAGGCCTCTCGCCATCCCTTGTCCCTGTGCTCTGCGTCTCTCTCCAAGCACAAATGGGGTGAGTGGGGCCTAAAGGAAGTTACTCTTTAAACAAACAAATAAAAACAAACAACCCCACCTCCCCTTCCCCAATGTCCCAGTGTGCACCAGACTCCCAGTTAATCTCCTGACAAAATAAAGTGCCCATTTCTCAGTCAGGCTGGGTTCGCGCTGAATCACCAACCCGAATGGTCCCGTGGGCCGGAGTAGGAGCGGCATCTACTGGTAGCTTTTGGTATTTGTAATGGAACTCGGCCTCCAAACTTGTCAGATCCCTCTCCTTTGGTTCAGTTGCAATCTGTAGGTTGGGTTGCAGCAGAAGAGGATCCTGGAGAGGGAAGGGTGAATGGTGGAAGAGGCAGGGGCGCACATTTAACCTGGGACTTGAGGAAGAAGTTCTGCTGGGGCCTGTTCCTGGGCACCCCCGCCAGCCGAGGTGCTGGAGGACCTGCTGTGGGAGCAGTTGGGGCCACTGCCCCAACTGGCTGCCATCGGCCCCTTGGAAATGTAGCCCCGTGAATCAGCTAGGAGCTTTGTCTGGGAAAGAGTGTGCAGAGAAAGGACCAAGGAAGAGTAAAAGACTTAAGGGAAAATTGGGAAACTTGCAAGAGTGGAGAAGCATGATTTTACCAGACACTAGACTAGACTCTTCATGAAAATAACCCTGTGATCTGCTGTGATGATGTGGCCCTCAAACAAGATTCGGATCCAATATTTTGCATTTTGTGTGGGCCTTCCCACCAGGAAGGAATCGCTTTCTGTGGAGAATTTGTCCTGGTGTTATCCACTATTTTAAAACTAATCCCCTTTATTCTTTATAATGATGCAATGAATATGTGGAAAATATACAGATGACTATATAGGGAACAGAAACACCCATGACACAAACATGATGACAATGAGCTATCATTCTTTGGGTACATGCTCCCAGTCTTTTTTCTAGTTATGTGTATATATACAGTGTCCAAAAATGTATACACACTTTAATTGATAGCTCAATTTTGAAAATGAAATGCATTTTAATAAACCCTGCCTTTGAACTTATTCAAAGTGTATGTATACATTTTTGGGGGACACCCTAGATATAATTTTCTCAAAGTTGTAACCATCTAGTACACATATTGAAGATATATTTGTATCTTTTTCACTTAACATTATCAAAAGCATTTCCTCATATCCCTAAGCATGCTTTCAAAGAGCAACTTTTTAAAAATATATATATTTTATTGATTTTTTACAGAGAAGAAGGGATAGAGAGAGTTGGAAACATCGATGAGAGAGAAACATCGATCAGCTGCCTCCTGCACACCCCCTACTGGGGATGTGCCACAACCAAGGTACATGCCCTTGACCGGAATCGAACCTGGGACCTTTCAGTCTGCAGGCCGACAAAGAGCAACTTTTAATGGCATAGACTGACCTAGAAATGAACTTACCCAGTCTCCTATTGTGGGACATGTGTGCTCTTTGCAACTTATTATGGTACATAAATCTCTGTCCATGTCTGCTCATTACTTTAGAATAAAATGCTAGATGTGGAATTACTGGGATACATACAGTCTCAACTTTTGATGCAAGTTTTCCAATTGTTTTCTAGAGGAGTTACCAACTTTTATTCCCTTTTACAAGATATAGGATCATTCCCTTTTCCATCCTCAATACTGGGTATGATGAACAAACCAAAACAAAAATCTTACCAGCGTGGAACATGAAAAACGGCACCTTTTCTGTTATAATTTATAGTCCTTTGATTATTCAAGTTCAATATTTCATGTTTCCTGGTTATTTTATTCTGTGGTGAATGGGCTGACTCTGTCCTTAGTCCACTTTGATGTGGGGTGGAGAGGCTTGCTATGTGAGTACATTGGCTTTATGGTAGAGTAGGAGCCAGGTCTTTCAAGACCTGTGTCCCCTAGGGGGATATTGTCACACTTTGGGGCTTTGGAGCTGAGGAATTAGACCCTGGAGATTTGAAAAAAAAAAAAAAGGCATCTCATTCTACCTTTTGAGTCTCACCAACATGCAGACTCTCTGGACTCTTACTCTAATCATCAACTCAGCTAGGCAAGAAGTTGAAGAGTTATAACAAAAAATAGTACAAGGTAGGTATTTTTCATTTTGCAGATAAGCAAACCAAGTGTTGGTGATGTGACGTATCCTAATACTCTTGTAAAGCTAAATGGTAGAGCTGGGCTTTAAACCCAGTGTGTGGACTCAGAGCTTTTAGCCACTGCCCCTACTGCCTCTGCGTCACAGTGCAGTGGTTGTGTTCTCAGAGGAACAGAAAGGGATCAAGTGAACATAGACACTCCTTCTAGCCTGTCCACCATAGTGCTGAGTTTGTCACTCCCCCTCCCCTTCCTCGCCAGGGACTATTGTCGGTGAAGTGGTGACTCTGTGGTATGTGCCTGCTTAGATGCCCCACCCAGACAAGAGAGCTGTGGAAGGGAGCCTTCAGAGCCCCCTTCTGTGGTTTGGGGGGATGTCTGTACGAATTAGCTTCTCTGTTCTCACTGTGCCTTTTTGTTTTCCAGATAAAAAATCTCAACCGTGGTTTTTCCAAACTGAAGGCATTGGTGCCATTTCTTCCTCAAAGCAGGAAGCCTAGCAAAGTTGATATTCTTAAAGGTGCAACTGAATACATACGAGTCCTCGGTGATGTTTTGGGAAGAGCCAAAGACTCCGAGGTAAAGGTTTAGGAAGTTAGAGCAATGAGATCTATCATTTATTGAGCCCTTGTATGTGCCAGGCAATTTATGTATACATTCCAGTTAGTTTATAACAACCCTCTGGGTTATTTATGGTCCTCATTTTATAGAGGAAGAACACAACATACAGTGAAAGGCCACGTGGTTAAGAAATGTCAGGAGCAGGGCCTGAGTGTAAGTCTGTGTAAGATTTGGAGCCAAGTTCCTGACCATCTCTATACCTTCTGTCACGGCCCCGGGCCCTGAGCTCCTAAATGCTGAATCTTTCATAGAACCTTGACAGCTGGGTCATGAGAGAGGGCTCCCATAAACCCACACTGTGGTGGTGGCTTCTCTTCAGCAAGAAAAACATTAGACAGGACCCAGAAAGGAAGAGGCATTTCTATCCCAAAGGGATCGCCCTTGGGAAAGGTCCTCCCGAAAGGACAACCCTGCTGGAGAGCCCAGCAATAGTCTGCTGACAGCAATCAAATGAACCTTCTTTGCAATCTGCGAAGCACCATAACGTCACCACTGTTCTCAGAATGCATGGCTCAGAAGTGTCCATTAGGCAGTGGAAGACAGGGGGTTGGTTTTATGGGCTCATTCCATGGAGAGGCAAACCTTGAAAGCCAGAGAATGGATTCGTCATCAGAGGAGGTAAACTATGAAGAGAGGAAAGGCCTAAGTGACATTATTGACAGGAGGAAGGAGGAGCCATCAGAGAGAAGGTGGTAGGAAGGTAGTAGAGAAGCAAGATGGGTCCTAAAGTCAGGGATAGGGGAATCTTGAAAATCTGGGGGTGGGAAGTAGTGGGAGGAGCACAGAGAGCTCAGGAAAGGCAACCAGGCCCAGCATTTGAGATGTGGAATAGGAATGGCTGGAAGCCAGCTGGTAGGGGGTTGCGGGTGTGTTATTGCTAAAAATCTGGAGTCTAAGCAGAGGGAAGTGGCAAACTTCAAGTCCATTCAGCCTGGAAGTCTGAGACTGGAAGGAAAGGTTAAAAACCAAAGGGAGAAGAAAAGCTGTTAGAGCCAGTAAAGGTCTTTTCCAAGTAGCAGTGGGTCCATGTTTAGGGACAGAAGAGAAGGACAGATACCAGAAGAGAAACAATCATTCTATAAACTTAGGGCAGAAATAGCCAGGTGCATAATTGTACTTTTTGGGGTGTTTTATTTTTCTTGTATACTAGTCCTTCTTAGGTGATGACCGGAAGGACACATTCTACAGGAATGGATTGTCCTACTGGCCAAATTGGATAGTTGGGTTTAGCATGGCCATAGTTTGCAGATATACAAGTGGCTGCCTTAGTTTTTTTTGTATGTTTATTGTGTAACAGAAGCGCTTAGTTTTATGCTGTTTTCATTAAAGTACAGGATCTGTCCCATGTTGCTATAATATTTTAAATGCAGTGGCCCATTACACAACATTTTAAGGTTATAGAAGAACAAAATACAGTCCATTGAGCAATGATTTTTCTCTCCATAACTTAAGAATTGCCCTTATAACTTAAATGAAATGTTATCCATTACAATTTTGAAATATATTGATTTAAATCTTCAAAGTCTGACTGTCATAGCGTTTGACAACTAAATATGATTTCTAGAAAGAAAACCCAGATCATCAGAACTATATCAACAGTACTTCCGAACCACGTATATCCACGGCTAAAGAGCAATTGAGGAACAGCACTCAATGTGATGTGGGCTTGAAGAATGAGGAGGAAGGGCCCTGGGCAGATGGTGGCAGTGGTGAACCAGCATGCACTTGTCGCCAGAGCGTGATGTCTACAACTGGAGTTACTCCCCTACCAGGAGTATGGTAAAGTCTTTCTTCTTAAATTGCAATATAGATTAAAAAAAATTCAAAATGCTTCCCTTGAGGTGTGTGGTATTTTTTATGATGAACCATTATTGAAACAAGATCATTTTGTGAAAGCACTTAGGTTGCGAGATGGAGTTGGCTAATTTGGAAGATCTGTTATTATGTCCCCAAATGAACCAGTAAGCAGCCCAAGGGGAAGCCAACTCCTCCAGAACCACTTATCATAGACCTAAACTTATTTATGACCCTCATTAATATATCAAAAGGTTTTCTGGACTCTGAGGACTCTAGAAAAAGAAATAAGTACTAGATCGCTATACATAAAGCTGCATGGTCATAGCATATACAAGCATGCACACACACACACACTCGTGTGCACACGCATACACTTAAAAAAATTGGCCTTGTTATAAGGCAGCATTTTCTAAGTAATAACAAGGAGTTTATTGTAACAGCTCTTATTACTCTGCCCAGCTAAGAAGCCACTCGAAATAGCAGCCTGCTTCTCCAAGTCTAGAAAGTAGACATTTGGTCCTTGCTGTGTTTCAGTGTTACACAAATGAGACCCCTTACTCCATCCGACGATACGATTGCTATTGAAATATGAAAGTCTTGTGGGGATCTAGAACTAAATGTACTGTACCAAGCAAGTTGCTTAGTCTGATATAAGGGAAAAAGGGGCTGTGGAGTCACAAGTGGTGGTTGGTGATGGGAGGCCATTTCGAATAGCAGTTGAGTGCAGGTTTTAGAGATAGAATGCTGAGGTTGAAACCCTGGTTCTACCACTTCCTAGCTGTGTGACCTTGGGTGAGCTACTGAATCTGAATCTCCTCAGTCCTCAGTTTGCTCACCTGTAGAATGGGAAGGATAATTGTACCTACCCTGTATGTAAGATAACTGTGAGGTTCAAAGGGCATCATGTCAGTGAAGTGTCTAGCACAGTACCTGGCATGTCAATGTTCAATTGCACATACATTATTAAGTCTGCTTGATGCACCATGAGCAATCACATTGATTGGTGAGCAATCAGCATTGATTGGTGAGCAGTCAATAATGAGCCACAGACACTTTAGCTGTGTTTGTAGCAAGTGATCAGGGTTTTCTCACGTGCCTCTCACCAATGCTCCACTCAGGTTTGAGGTCTTACAGGCTTCCTGCTGACTGGCTGGCTTTGGTTACCATTTCTGATTTGATTACTCTTTTCTAAGTACTCCATTTGTGCACATGCTTCGTCTAGATTTTCAAATTCTGGGCCATTTGAGATATAAACCTTCCCTTGCCAATCAACCCTTAGGAGACAGAATTCCTGTTGCTACTACATGAGCTGACAGCAAATGACTGAGAATGAAAGAAAAGAATGTAGATCTGACCTGAACTGAAACTTGAGCCTGGCTATCTAAGTTAATAACAGTAATGCTTCCACAAATGTAAGTTTTAATATGTACTAGAGTAGTAAGGCTAGAATCTTACTTGCATTTAATCCCCACTGATGCTTCTCAGGTGGGCATCACCATGCCATTCTCATGGTGAGCTAACCGGCTGTTCCGTTTCTGCCAGTCCTGTTGGGCCTCATAGCAGAGCAAGCCTATGCTGGTGACACCAGCAGCAAGGACGTATAGGAGACCCGTGTCTTCCAAGGATAAGTGATCCTGGAGATAGGCCATTTCTAGTAAATTGATTTAAAGTAGGGATTAACTTTTTCTAGTAGGAAACAAAAGTTCTGATTGAAAATTTCTTTTACAAAGGGAACAAAACACTTCATTTTTAGTCTTTTAGCTGACCAAGTTTAATTGGAAGAATGTGCTAATCCTATATAATAAAAGCCTAATATGCTAAGTGTCCAGTCATCTGATCATCCATTCAACCAATTAAAGCATAATATGCTAATGATATGCTAAGGCCACTCAACCGCTCCCTATGATGCACGCTGACCACCAGGGGGCAGATGCTCAGTCCAGGAGCTGTCCCCTGGTGGTCAGTACACTCTCACAAGGGGAGTGCCACTCAGCCAGAAGCTGAGCTCATGGCCTCCACGGCAGCACTAAGGATGTCCAACTGCTGGCTGAGCACTCCCCCACCCCCAAGGGCTTCTGGACTGCAAGAGGGCACAGGCTGGGCTGAGAGACCCTTCCCCCGCCCCCTACCGAGTGCATGAATTTCGTGCACTGGGCCTCTAGTCTATATAATTAAAGGCCAGTGACTGTTAAGGTGGAACAACCAGAATAACTGCTCACTATGACGTGCACTGACCACCAGGGGGCAGATGCTCAATGCAGGAGCTGCTCCCTGGTAGTCAGCGTGCTCCCACAGCTGGACCACTGCTCAGCCAGAAGCCAGGCTCACGGCTGGGGAGCAGTGGTGGGAGCCTCTCCCGCCTCCATGGCAGGCGCTGAAGAGTGGCAGGCAATTAGGAACGAGGGGTCCCGGATTGTGAGAGGGTACGGGCTGGGCTGAGGGACCCTCCCACCCCCACAAATTTCATGTATTGGGCCTCTCGTTCTTAAAATAAAGAATTCATAAATTTTAGATTTTTAATATATGCCTATAACTTCTGTGTGCTCTCTAAGGCCTGAATATAGAGAGTCATTTTTTGCAGAAGTGTTCTAGGATTTCATCAGTTTTGTCAAGGGTTTCTTATACTTTGATGTTCAAATCATTTTTAAAATGAAACAATAATCCACTTATAGAAAACTTGCAAGCACAGTACAAAGAATGTTTCTCCTGACCCATTTACAAGTAAGTTGCCAACCTGATGTCCCACTTAGCCCTTCTTGCCCTTGGAGAGGATTTGAGGAGTGGACTCCGGATGCTGGCAGAGATGGTCATATTTTGGGATTTGGGGATGTGTCTGAACAGGCTATGCAAGATCAGCAACATTCCTGAGAGGCAAAATTCCAAACGAAGTACATAAGATCTGCTGAATGGAGATTAATTTCTCAGGCGAGGGTAGGTTCACTTGGGGGACTGAATCAGCAAGTATGTGTGTGGATGGAGAGGGCTGTGGGCCAGGTGATGCCACAGAATCTGGCCGGGTTGGGGATAGGGATTAATGTCAAGGTCCGGACGAGGCTCATTTAGAATTGGACTTGCAGGTGTAAGATCTTGCTGTTTGGGGATAGATGTTGAATAAACCACCATTGTTTACTCCTTCTATTGTCATGCGTGGCTATGATGTGGGCATTTTACATCACGCAAGACTCTGAATTTTGTTCAGAGTGGCCTGTGATCCTGTGGAGGTTGTGTCCCTGTACAAAGGCCACCTTCAGTGTTGGGGTGAGGTGCCAATTGTGCTGGGTCAGAGGAGCTCTGGAAAGAGAGAGATGGATAAACATGGTGTCTATTATGAGGCCCGGAGGTGTCCCCACCACACACTTCTAAATCGTGGCCTCTCCGGGCAGCAGTCCTGGGAAAGCCTTTCTCAGAGAAGGAAAGCTGTGTGGGTGGTAGATTTCTACTACTTCCTCTGTAGGTTGTGGTAATCTCCGTGTGAAAGCAATCACTGCAGACATTTCTTCTAATGGCATTTTAAGCTCTGGAATGAGTTGGGATTAATTTATCATCACCCAGGGAAGGCCCGGAAGCATCTATCCTTCTGTCTTCCCTCTCACATTTCCCCCAGGGAGTGGCTGTGTGTTTTAGCAAAAACCCTAACCATGCAGTGGGGTGGGCCTAGGCCAGTGATGGCGAACCTTTTGAGCTCGGCGTGTCAGCATTTTGAAAAACCCTAACTTAACTCTGGTGCCGTGTCACATATAGAAATTTTTTGATATTTGCAACCATAGTAAAACAAAGATTTATATTTTTGATATTTATTTTATGTATTTAAATGCCACTTAACAGAAAAATCAACCAAAAAAATGAGTTCGCGTGTCACCTCTGACACGCGTGTCATAGGTTCACCATCACTGGCCTAGGCTTTTCCTTAGAAAGCACTTTTGTCTGCCCCAGTGTTCACTGATAGCCGAGGGGCCATATTCTGATAAGTTTAGCCAACAAAGTATTTAAAAAAACTGAACTTCCTTTTTGATGGGGTGGGTGTTCTCTGGTTTGTTGGTCTCCACCACCCCCTATTCACCAGTTTAGGCATTTAACTTTGCAGCCCCGGACCAAGGGCGCTGAGGTTCAGAGGGAAGGCTGTGCCAGTGATTGCATTTGGCTCTAGGGTGTTATTGTGTCTTCTGAACTTTGGGCCCTGAGGGTTTGGGGCTGTGATGATACGGATGCTGGTCGTCCTCTCTGGAACATTGGAAGGGTGAGATCTGGGACATGCAGGATGGGATCCATCTGACTCTGGAGTGATTCAGGTGGAGGATTCCTGAGGCCGCAGCTACTTGGGAAGAGATCCAACTAGCACCTAAGGAAGACTCTTAAAGCCAAATCTGATGAAGATTTTTAAAAAGTTAGAGGATAGACAAATTTCTATTTCTTTGCAAAAATAAGAGAGGGAGTTTGTTGGAACTCTAATTTTTCTATGAGGACAAAAGGTCGAATCAATCATGGAAGTGGGTTTTGGTATGTTGTGTGTGCATGCATGTGTATGTGTGTGAAGTGTGTTTGGTAAGAACTCTACCTGGCTTGTGCTCCTAACCCTGTCAGCATAATTTGAGAAGTCCAATGCTTTCTTTTTATTTCTCTGACGTGTAATGGCCCTTGACCTATTCTGGATAACCCAGGATTAGAATAAGGGGGAAAGGTGGAAGGACACATTGACCTCCCTCAAGTACTAGCTTAGGTGGTCTTAGCATTTGGTTTTCTGCTAACCCAAAGCGCTGTCTGTCCAAGGAAGGCCAGCCTCTACCTTTGAGGGAAACTTCCATCCAATTCTTGCCATTCTCCTCTATTGCTGCCACCCATCCCAACCCCAAGCCTTGACTGAGTGGATGAGAGAAATCTAAGATCAAGGTCTAGATGGAGGGAAAAGTACATTGGATAATATGTCAAATTATCCAGCAACACGCCCAACAACAGGAGTGCACCTGCCTTATTAAAGCAGTTGGGCAGCAAGCTGGGTTTCTGTTCCTCAGACCACACTCTTCTTGGTCCTGTAATGCATTGACTTAGATGAGGCCAACAGGCCTTATTGGCATGCTTAGAGGTTAATATATGGTCTTTATTACAAGTTTTAATGGCTCATTAAATTGGACAGTTTTCTAATAGACAGATATTTGTTTTCAGGTTTTTGTTCTCATAAACATGGCAAATAACCAAATGTGTTTCACTCTTTCTGTATTTTTTTAAAGGATAGATTCCCAGAAGTAGAACTCCTGAGCCATGGTAGGTACAATCTATGACTTGGTGCATGGTGCTAATTTATAATACTATCATCTGTGTAAGAGTGCTGAATTCATCATATCCTTGCCAACAGTAGGATCTATTAAAATGATAGATTTTTACTGGGTAAAAATGATGTCTTTAAATGCAAACATCTTTGATTATTAATGAAATGAACAAGTTTTTAGATATTTCTTTTGTGACCTGTCTGTTCTTATCTTTAGCATTTACAATAAACTCTCTTCTGTGTTTCAGGTTCCAAATATGAAAAGTGAAAAAACTGGTGCAGGTCTATATTCTGCAGACAAATAAATGCAGTTTTGGAGTCTTTAATGATTTTTTTCTGTGCGTGATAATTCAAAGTTTACCATTACCCTTTAAATGGCCTTGCTTGTTACAAATCTACTCAACTGTACTTTCTCCTTAATTTCATGCTTTGAAGAAATAGGCTTCAGGGCTTTCAGCCTGCATTCTTATTCTTCAACCCATCCAGTGGTCTCTGTCCTCATCCTCTCAGGTCCTACACCTAATATCTTTCATTCCATCTGTTTTCATTACCTGAGAAATAAGTGACTGCTAACCTTTCCTGGGAAAATTAACCTTTAAGAGGAATACAAATTAAAGCTTGAAGAATGTGGAGTTGTAACTATTAGCCAATGGGAGTGAGAATTTTCCGGGTTAGCTCAATACCTAGCTAAGGCCCTATGGCACCTTTGTGCAAGCTGGACACCCAAGCACCTTGAGCATAGAGGCAGTCTTCATCTTTATAACAGTTTCTCAAAGAGACATAGCACTTAAAGTATGCTGGGTTCTGCCCTCCATATTTTCCTATGTTAACTTTCCTCACAACTGTCCTCATAGGTAGCCACGATTATCCCTGTCTTACCAATGGGGAAACAGGGGCACAAACATGTATTAGTTAGCTTGGGCTGCTATAAAAAATACCATAGCCTGAGTGGCTTAAACAACAGAAATTTATTTCTCGAAGTTCTGGAGACTGGGAAATCTAAGATCAAGGACGAGGAGGTTTGGTTTCTGGGTAGCAGACAGCTGCCTTCTCTCTGTGGCTTCACATAGTAGAGAGCTAGTGTGAGTGAGCAAGCTCTGGTCTCTCTTCCTCTTCTTATAAGGACACGGATTCTATTGGATTAAGGTCCCACCCTTAGAACCTTATTTAACTTTAATGGTCTCCAAGTAGTCACATTGGGGGTTAGGGCTTCAGCATATGAATTTGGGGGGAGGACACAATTCAGTCCATAGCATTCTGCCCCTAATTCCCCAAACTCATGTTCTTATAACATGCAAAATACATTCATTCCATTGCAACAGCCCCAGAAGTCTTAACTCATTCCGGCATCAACTCTAAAGTCTGAGGTCCAAAGCCTCTTCTAAGTATGTATATCACTTGGGTACGACTCTGGGTATGATTCATCCAGAGGCAAAACTCCTCCAGCTGTGATCCTGGGAAACCAGACAAGCTATGTGTTTCCAAATGCAATGGTGAATAGGCATAGGATAGACATTCCCATTCCAAAAGGGAAATAGGAAAGAATAAAGGACGATGGGTCCCATGCAGGCCTCAACACTAGCCAGGCAAGTCCCATTAGATCTTATGGCTTCACAATAATCCCCTTTGGCTCCACATCCTACCTTCCAGGAGCCCGGGGTTGGCTGCATCGCGCCCCTCTTACTCCCCTCCTACCCCCCCTCCCCTCCCCCACACAAAGAGGTCTCTGCAGCGATGGCCCTGCCCTCTGAAACCTGGAGGAAATAGACTAGCCTCCTGGGCCTGTGGTCAGAGCAGCAGCCCTGATGATCTCTGAATCGCCTCCTTGAAGAGTAGTGCATGTTTACAACCAGATGATTCTATGGTCTGGTTCTGTAGAATCCAGGAAGTCCAACACCTGCCTTCATTCTGGCCTGTTTTCTCCGTCCCCTTTAGTTCAAACTGCCAGTATCATAGCTGGTATAATCCCATCTCTATTCCTGGCCTCTTTTGAGATGGCTGATTAAGTCCAGAAGTTGTCCCCATGATCTCTCGATCAAATGGTTGTCCAGCTATACCAGTGATGGCGAACCTTTTGAGCTCGGCGTGTCAGCATTTTGAAAAACCCTAACTTAACTCTGGTGCCGTGTCACATATAGAAATTTTTTGATATTTGCAACCATAGTAAAACAAAGATTTATATTTTTGATATTTATTTTATATATTTAAATGTCATTTAACAAAGAAAAATCAACCAAAAAATGAGTGTCATAGGTTCGCCATCACTGAGCTATACCCTTAATGCTCTCTTCAGAGCAAGCTTTCTCACCTTCTGCAATATAGGTGGGCTGAGAATTTCCCAAATCTGCAAGTTTTGGTTCCTTTTTGTTTAAAAATTCTTTAATTCATCTCTTTCCTCTTACATTTTACTATAAGCAGTAAGAGGGACCCAAGTTGCACCTTCAATAGTTTGCTTAGAAATCTACTCTGCTAAATATCCAATTTCATCACTTGCAAGTTCTGCCTTCTACAAAACACTGAAAGCACAATTTAGCCAAGTCCTTTGCCACTTTGTAACAAGAGTTGCCTTTCCTCTAGACCAGCGGCTCTCAACCTGTGGGTCGCGACCCCTTTGGCAGTCGAACGATCCTTTCACAGGGGTCGCCTAAGACCATCTTGCATATCAGATATTTACATTATGATTCATAACAGTAGCAACATTACAGTTATGAAGTAGCAACGAAAATAATTTATGGTTGGGTCACAACATGAGGAACTGTATTTAAAGGGCCAGAAGGTTGAGAACCACTGCCTACACCAGTGATGGTGAACCTATGACACGCGTGTCAGAGGTGACATGCGAACTCATTTTTTTGGTTGATTTTTCTTTGTTAAATGGCATTTAAATATATAAAATAAATATAAAAATATAAGTCTTGTTTTACTATGGTTGCAAAGATCAAAAAATATATGTGACACGGCACCAGAGTTAAGTTAGGGTTTTTCAAAATGCTGACACGCCGAGCTCAAAAGGTTGGCCATCACTGGCCTAGACACTAGAGTCTAGAGTCTGGGGCTTCTCCATCAGCTGCGTGTGGAGACTCACTGCCCTGCCTGGCTCTTCCCTCCTGGGGCTGGGGTTACAGTTGCTGGTTATTTCATTTTAATCAGTAATCAGACTGTCAATACTTTCATTGGGTGTCCCATTTTGTTTGCCCGGCCGTCCTGGGTGGTGGGAGATTGGCTGAGTTTTCTAGGGCTGCCATCACAAGGTACCACAGGCTGGATGGCTTGAACAACAGAAATGTATCTGAGATCAAGGGATCAAGGTATAATCTTCTGACGCCTCTCTCCGTGGCTGCGATGACTGTCCTCTCCCTGTGTCTGTATGTGATCTTCCCTCTGTGCCAGTCTGTGTCCATGTTCCTCCTTATAGACACCCATTCCATTGGATTAGGGCCCACTCATATGACCTTTTTTTAAATTCTTTATCTCATTACTTATCTGTTTTAAGACCAAACTCCAAATAAAGTCACATTCTGAGGTACTAGGCGTTAGCTCTTCAATATAGGGATTTTGTGGGGACACAACTCAGCCCAAAAAAGAGGGTAAGCACTGTTCCCTCACTTTACAGCTGGGAAGTGAGACCTCGGGGCAGAGTCTTTCTTGAGGCCACGGAGTCACTGAGACGGAGGCTGCAGCCCCAGGCCTTGGACGCCCAGTTCTCGCTCCACAGCAATCCACGGCCACAGAGTGGCTGAACCTCCGCTTGTTGGGAGAGTGGGGTCTTCAGGAGTTCTAGACTTAGAATTTATCATTGTTCTTGCTCTGAAAGCATAGTTTCTCCCGCATTTCCTGCCTTTTTAAAAAAAATTGATTTCAGAGAGGAAGGGAGAGGGAGAGAGAGAGAGAAACATCAACGATGAGAGAGAATCATGGATCAGCTGCCTCCTGCACGTCCCACACTGGGGATAGAGCCCGAAACCTGGGCATGTGCCCTGACCTGGAATCGAACTGTGACCTTCTGGTTCATAGGTTGATGCTCAACCATTGAGCCACGCTGGCTGGGCCCCATCTCCTGTCTTAAATTGGATTCCCCTAAAAGTAGGCCATGATTTATGGATTACTTCAGGGAAGGAAACATCCACAGGGGAGAGGGAAAGTGATGCCCGGAAGGAAGCAGCCTATGAAAGATGCATGACTGAGCAGGTTACTGCTGTGGGCAGCTGAGGCTCAGTCCTGCGGAGGCACAGGCCCCAGAGGTGTCCTCCCAACACCTCGGATCATGGACCCAGTCTCCTTATCCATGAACTCTTGATGGTCACTGGTTGAGAGCTGACCCCCTGGAATGTCAGTTCCTTCTGCTCACCCTGGGGAAAGCCAGAGATAAGTTTGGCTGGGCCTGCAGAGGGCTAAGACACTCTATTAGTTATCTACTGCTGTGTAACAAATTACCACAAGCTTAGCAACTTAAAACAACACATTTATTTTCTCAGTTTCTATGGGGCAGGACTTGAGCCTGAGCATGGTTTGGCTGGATCCTCTCCTTCAAGGTCTCTCTCAAGCAGATCATTAGTAGTGTTATCTTCTAAAGGCAAGCTGTCCCTCCTAGACAAGAAATATTCCAAGTGTAAGACTTTTTTTTCCCTAAATCCCAGGGAGGTATCCTCTAAGGGAGGTCACGTTTCAGATTTTCTTCCTCGTAACAGAATCCTCATATTAGCTCTTGGCTGTGGGGGCAGTTGGAGGTGTGGGTGTGGACGTGGGCAGAGGCCCGGCGGCAGGACTGCGGCAGCGCGGGCGGGGGCACTGCGGGCGGGGGCACTGCAGCACCGCAGCCCGGGCGGCCCGGCAGGGCCCGCAGGAGGGGGCGCTGTGGGCACCGCCAAGCGTCCTTTTGTCAGCGCGCAGCGCCGGAGAGCTCTCCTTTCCTCCCGGCCTCGTGCGGGAAAGGGATTTAATTCTGGTGGCAGGAGTGGCAGCCTCTATTGTGGGCAGTCGCCGGTGACGCCAGAAGCTGCATCTCCGGTGGGATTCCAGGCAGGCAGCCCTGACGGCGCGGGGCTGCGGGATGGAGACAACGCTGCTCTGCACATTAGCTGGGTGCGTGTATTAAGCAGACCCAAAGGGGGAAGGAAAAAAACCAACAACAACGAAACCAAACAAAAACTACAGCCGACGGTGGGAGCCCAGAGATGGAGACAACGCCGCGCAGAAGGTAAGCCCATCTCCGGAAGGGGCGCCGCGGCTCGCCCGGGTTTTGTGTATGGTCCTGGCATTTGAGACCCA